AAAGGTTGGCTTCAGATCATATTCCTAAATGACTCCAGAAGCAAATAGAATCTTCAGAACCCATTAATGGTGAGAACAGACGACAACCTAGCTCCTCTATTGAGAAACATATTACAGAGGAGACAGGACATAAAATTGACGTTTACAGATCTTTTATACCTATCTATAGAACGTGTCGTGCGTCGGTGGCACAGTGGTTAGGACTCTCGCCGACCATGCACATGGTCCGGGGTTCGATCCCCTGCCGGCACACACCCGATATCTATGGTCGGTCTGAATTTGGGCTACTGATATCCATGCTGAAAGTTCCATACTTGTACTGAAAATACGGTGTGGAATCAAGCTGTAAATCAAAATAATAAAAAAAAACAATATTATTATTATTGTCACTATTATCATTGTCATTATTATTGTTATTATCACTATCGCTACTATCATTATTTATTTTATTTTTACATTTCCTTACATATTTCTTGATTAATTTATCCGGGTAATTATTAAGTTTCAAGGCTTCTTTTATATACACATAGTAGTGATAGTAATAATAATATTAATGACGACACCAACAATAAAGAATCTAAATCATCAGTAGTAATTCCATACAAGGAAGGAACCTCGGAAGCCTTACGCAGAATTCTTAACAAGGCAGGAATAAAAACGGCATTCAAACCCCCCACAAACTCAATTAGAAACAAGCTTTGTCGGCTAAACGATCAATCCTGTGGAGCCTTTAAAACAAAACAATTCAGTTTATCTAATACCCTGCAATGATTGTCAGGTCAAATACATACGTCAAACTAGTAGAACAGGGGCAGTCAGACTAGCTGAACATAAAAACTTAGCAAAATCTAGATTGGTTGACCCGAATAAAATAAGAAATCTAGAGAATAGTTCAGCTATAGCACTACATGCAGTCACACACAACCATACAATAGGATGGGATAGGATGACAGTTTTAAAATCTAATGTCACAGGGTGTAGGGAGAGATTGATAACAGAAGCTTTGTTTATCGAATCAACTACAAATACATGTAATAGGAATGATTCATCACCTGTCCCCGATATCTGGAAAATTCTACTACCCCTACGACATATAGGAGGAAACAAAGAAAACTATAAAACTCAAGTGTCAAAGTCGTGTGATCACAATTGATATGATTATGAACAATAAATTTTGTTCGAAACGTCATCCAGTAAATAATACTGTTTCACTGTGTGATATACCTAATAAACAAACTAATATGGAGTTGAATTCAATAGCTGTTATATTGTATAGGTATGAAGCTATGGAAGTGGGTGTATTGTCCATTCCACGTCACTTGAATTAACAAAATTACAAAGTGTAGTAAAGATATAATAATAAGATCATAATTACAGACAATCTGACTACTCCTGATGTGCTAGTTTGACCCATGTAGTTTACCTCACTCACATTCATTGCAAAGTATTCTGTAAATTATACTATTTTGTTTGTGTCAACCTACACAGCTTGTCCTACCTGATTGAGTTTGTAGGTTTATATTGCCACCCTAATTCCTGCCTTATTAAGAATCCTACGCTCACGGTCTGAGATGTCTGCTCTTTATATGATAAAACTGCAGATACCTTATATTCTTTCTTGTTTATGTTATCATTATTAATTTCACCACTATTTTTATTTTGCTTTGACCTTTTCTGATCTTCCTAGTGAATTTTACAGGACAGCTATTTAACACCAACCGGCTATTCTTCTATCTGTTTTATTTCATCGTTTAGGTTTTTTGTTGTACTACTTAGTGTTTTTTCATCGCTCGGTTGCTTAGACACTTAACGACTAAGTTTGTCTTTACAGACATAATGGATGAGATGAATTCAAGTGTAAATATCTATTAGAATGAATTGGCTTTTTATCCAGACTAGTGTGCAGTTTACCTTCTCCTGTTCGTTTTATTTTACAATCTAACATCATAGCTAATTCTCCTTGTTCATCTTCTGATTCAAACATGAATCTAATTCCCTCTGCTATTGACCTCAGGGATGATTCATATCTAATTTCAAAGAAATTTGCAGACTTAGAGAAGAAAACCAACAAGTTGCTAGAAGAGGAAGCCAGACTGGACAGGACTTCAAGTGAACACAGAGAGGCGATGAAGATAACCAACCAACCAACCAACCAACCAACCGACAAGCATTAATCCCTGTGCTCTCACCACGACTTATTTAGGTTAGCGTTGTTTCAACTATAGCCCACAGCAAATATGAAGATTTCAAAACCAGAATCGGCAATGGAAGGTAAATCTTCATCAATCTGAAATCAGCTTGGAAATCTTCTGCACTAGGCTTAATGAACACGATTCGCATCTTCAACACCAACTGTTCAGTGAGTTAATGTTTCTATATGTCAGTGTATCACGAAAAGCATCTCCGATAGCCAACTGCAGACATGTATCAACAGCTGTCTTCACTGCCTCCACATACTAGAGATCGAGTACTCAATCAGAAAAATTAGAAACAAGGAACTCTGAGAAAGAACCAATCACGAGCGTAACAGTCTATATGTATACGCGAAAGAAATCAAGGATGGTTCGGACAAACACTAAAGCGGTCGGTTTTCGACATAGAACTTTGCACACATGTGCGGCAGTTCAAGTCGCCACACTCCATGTAGACGAGATTATTCCCTGGTAGCAAGTCAATCCCTGAGTCGCTGAAGTGTGTTAGGTCCATTAGTACATCTATGATGAAGTTGAATAGGAATGGGGATAATGGGCATCCCTCGCTGTCGGACACCACTAGTCGTCACCACTTCAGATGACAACTCGCCATAGGCCCTTACCTGGCTGCATGAGTACGAGTAGAGTGCCTTAATCAGTGTAATGTATTTTCTCGGCATTCCCTTTACAACCAAGCATCGCCAGAGAACCTCCCGGTCGACAGAATCGAATGCCGCCTTTAGGTCAAGAAATATAATGATTGTTGGACGCCGGTAGGAATGCCTATGTTCTAGAATCTGTCGGAGGGTGAAGATATGATCAATACACCCTCTACCTGGCCTAAAACCTGCCTGGTTTTCTCGTGTTCGTGTCTCCCGAGCACCACTTAGTCTACGCAGTATTATTGAGACTAGGATTTTAGATACTATATTAGTCAAGCTAATCCCTCTGTGATTATCACAAGAAGACTTGTCTCCCTTCTTGTATATCGGGATGATCAGTGACTTACACCAACACGATAAGACTTACTCTGATTCCCAGACACCGCCTAGAACCTCAGTTAATGCAGACAGTAAACTGTCTCCACCGTACTTAAATACCTCTGGAGTTATTCCATCAGGTCCCACTGCTTTGCCTTGCTTCAGATTAGTGACAGCTTTAGTAACCTCAGTTAAGGACGAAGGACCTGTGTCTATATCCCATTCAGGGAGGCGTTGGATGTTCGGTAGGTTAAGTGTGGCTGTAGGCCAATTAAACTGCTCCTCATAGTGTTCTTTCCAGCGTTCCAGTCCTAGGAGATAATTATGGTGCCATTTTTCTCTGAGATTGTTCCGCTTATCATTTGCCTTTTGCAACCTGTTTCCCTGATAAGCCTCAATAGTTGTCTGGGGTTGCCGATCGCCGATGCCTTTTCCATCTCTTTCGCTTTTGTTACCCACCACTGTTCACGGTCGTTGCAAAGACATTTTGTTAGTCTTCGTTTAAGTACCTTTCGCTCCTCATCATAATCGGAGCTCACCAGAATCAGTCTTCTTGCGTCAATCAGTTCGGATGAGGCGGTAGAGATCCAATGGCTTTTACTAACTTTAGGTTTTAGCTTATTGACAGCTTTCACGGCTGTGTCCACAGCTAACTGTATGTTGTGCCAGGCTACCTCAGGGGAAGTCCTGCTGTCGACCTCTGAAACTAGTTTCGCTATTTATTCCTTTAATAAGGACTCAGTGTCACACTAAGGCGACCGCAGAATGACATCACACGGACAGCATTCGAATGGAACCCGAATGCAAAATAACACGCTGGGCGTTAGTCCGAGAGTGGCACGTAGGCAATCGTGTAACGAAGAGCCAGAAGGCAATAGATAATCCTATAGCCAGAGCTAAAGAGGACCGTAGAGAATATAAAATACAATGGAAACGTACTGCTGAAGTCTTATATTCCACTCGGAACCAAAAGGAACAATAACAAAGCAGTGCTAATAAGGACTATTCTCCCAAATATCCATAAATATATTTGCTAAGATAGAGGAAGATTGGTGATGATCTTATTGGCCACCCAGATTCTTTGTTGTCCGTAAACAACATATTATTTCGCCTTGACATTTTAAGAAGACAGCAAACGCCAAGCATAAGTGAGCTCCTAAAATAATTCTCCTATGAATAACTTTCAGAATCAGTAGTTAGTTCTTTTCTTCTAACGGTCAAATAACAAATAACACACTCAAACCCACCCAAACACGTAAAAACACTATAGAAATCATCACATCACTAGCGACTGGCCTTATTCAGGCAATTAACCTGGGCTGGTTCTCTAGTGGGAAGCCGTGACCAGTAGGGTACAGCAAGTTGAAGGTGAGACAGTAACTCATCGAGGAAGACAATGCGAAGTGATCACGCTATGTCACAAATTGGCAGATGCTAGAATTCACAGTTTGGTCATTGGATGGTCGCTCAGTGGCTTAATGGTCCACGAGCTCGCTAGCCTTGTAACCAGAAGTTCCTGGGCGAAACAGCTGGCTGTCCAGTACTCCCTGTGGCTGGTTTTCCAATGATTCTCTAACTGATGTCAGCTCATGATGTGAAACCCTTCAATCAATCAAACGCAATCCCTACAAAATCAATACTTAAAAATCATTAAATCCTTCAATAACCTTTTTATTTTACGGTTTTCTCGATCCAGATCAGGAAGAGGAATTAAATATAAATTACAAAGAAAGTAGACAGGTGTGTGTTATCTATATATATAAATATATATATATATATATATATATATATATAGAGAGAGAGAGAGAGAGAGTGTGTGTGTGTGTGTGTGAAAAACCAGACGCAAATGACGAAAATAAATAAAGAAGCGACACTACAGAACGTGCATGCATACTTACATACATACATATATGTATATATCGATCTTTGGCAGGTGGAAGAATCCTTCAGATCTCATTACGTCATATTACTTTTATTATTATTATTATTTTATACAAAAATGGGAAAATCAAGAGAGAGAAAAAGGAGACTGAAGCTTTGTTCCATTCATAGAAAATATAAAGTCATGAATACAAGTCAGAAATCAAAATTAAATCAGACATCACACGTCGGTTAATAATAATAACAATAATAATATTAAATAATAGTAATGAAATTAATAACAGATCGAAGTTGATCACACAGCTTGAATGCATGAAGATGTCCACATCGTATGACACGGCATGGCATGGCATTGCATGCGAGCAAAGGAGTTGTCGTCAATATAGAAGATAGATCGAAATAGTCAAAATAATCAAAACAACAAAAGAAAGAGGAGAAAAACTCCACAAAATAAATTAAAATTAAAAATACTATCGACATACACAGGTGAAAAAAAACAAGCAAAAAATGAAAAAACAAACAAATTATTGAGACAGTATCAGAAGAAGAAGAATAAAAGACAAAATTTGAGATTCAGCAGAACAAATGAACACATTGAAAGAAAGATACGCATGTCGGAGCTGTTTGGTGGGCTTGCCGGGGTTCGAACAAAAAAAATAAAGTAAAATGCAGTTGTTAGTTGTACAACAGAAAAGACACAACACATTTATAAAATGGTTATACCTACACCGTAGAGCAACACGCATACACACCCAACTTGCTACACAAAATGAGATTTGCATAAAATCACTGATACTGATACTACCATTACTATTACTATAAACAGTAGTATTTATCACTCCTTAGTAATAGTAAATAATAAAAATATATAATAGGGCTTTGATAAAGTAGGTAGGCATACTTCATGTCACCATCACAGATCGATATTTGCTTTTTGCTGTCAAGGTGAAAAGAGGAAAACGCGCCAATTCAAACGTAAAGGCGCGCGCGCGCGCAAATATACACACACGCCCACCGGTTTCAAGAATTTCGATAATCCAGTTAATTAATTAATTAATCAATAAATAAATTATCAGAGAAAATGAAATAAATCATTGGGGAAAAAATGAATGGAAATTCAAGAAGAAAAAAGAAATGACAAAAATGATGACAAAATCCGGTATTATCACTTTTTTATACGATTATTACTTGAGCAGAATAATACTGTCACACCAGTGAAACAACAACAACAGCAACTACTAGTACTACTGTTATTATCGTTGTTAGTAGTACTGGCAGCGAAAGATAGAAAGAAGGTGTAGAGGAAGCAGTAGTATTCATACAATAAGTAGGATTATGTACATTATTAGATTACCAATGACAAAAGATGGAAAATCAAACGGTGACGGAGATGGCGACAACAGAAATACAAGAGTGCAGCAGACAGGGAGAGAGTGAGGAGGGGAAAGAGGAAAGTTTTAACAATATATATGAGAAATAATGAAGAAGTAATGCGTGAGAGAGTGACAGAGTGTGTGTGTGTGTTTGTGCATGCCGTTAAATGCGTTGGATCCAATGCATGTACAAACATACATACATACACACACACATAAACAAACGTATTACAGGCAGTGGTTTTATCAATGAAGCACGCCTTTGGTGACGATAGTGATCACAACAACGACAACGACGGCGACGAAGGAGGAGGAGAAGGACAGAACAATTCGGTTTTAATATTGAAATGATTTACAATAGGAGCAATAGTAATAGAAGGAGTAGGAGTAGGAGTAATACCCATTAGAGTTATAATGGAGATAGAAACTTGGACGCTCTACTGTGTGTGTTTTTCTGTACAAGATACACCAACCTGTTTTGTTTGTTGTTGTTGTGTTTTTCTTTCAGTGAAGACGACGCCGTTGAATTCCCGGCGGTAGAGGCTTGTGAACACTGATGAAGTTTTTTTTAATCCTAAATAAAAAGCGTAAAAACATGTTTGAGGATGGAAATTTCCAGGGGGAATTAAGAATCCTTGATGAAGCAGCTTATGAAAAATAAAAAACACTGATTGTGATTGATAAACTTGGACTTCAAAAAAAGCAAAAACATAATGACCTTCAGCATTGATCACGGACTGACTGCAGCTAGAGAAAGTAGTGAAAGAGCCAACAAAAAGGAGTACTGGATAGGCATGTTACGTACTAGTTTGAGGGTGTTCGGCAGTAAATAGGCATGACTTCATCAGGGATCGAACGCAAGATCTTCAGCTCGTGCTGAACCGCTGAACCAATGGGATGGAATCCAATGAATGACCCATCAGTTATAACTTCTGTTAGGTATTTCAAGATATACAGTGCAGCAGGTATATATTTATTATTATTTAAACACAAAGTACTTGGTACAATATGGCACCAAGAAGATGTGCCACACAACGTTTCATTGATTGTGTGAGGGGGCTAAGATACTGTCCGGGAGCCCAGACCAAGAAAGGTGGTTGTCTTAAGAGACCACCCCACTCCAAGCATTTGACTTAGAGTCTAATCCGCAAGGCAGCGAAGCAACGTCAGGAGCTACGTTCCCATGGTTGCCGGTGACCAATAAAGGCTCATACGCCATTTGATCCGACTGGATTCTGGAGCCCATACAAAAAACAACCTTCCTGACATGGTAGGACCTGCAGGAATATGAGTTCCAGCCAGTTTAGCTTGTTGGGTCAATGTGGTATTCAACCACGACCACCACGACAAGGTAACAGTTATCGGCCGGTGAGTATTTCTCGTCACAGTATGCAACTTAATGAACCCCGCTGATTACGAGTTCCTACTAGAACTTCAGGAAATTTTATCTTGTAGTCAGTGAGAATCATCTTCTGTGTGCAAGATATATTCGCAATATGCTAGGGACTCGGTTACCCACAATTCTACTGGCTGAATGGTCCACAAGCTCACTTTGTAACCGGAAGGTTATGGATTTGAAACCCCATGGGTGCCGACCGCCGAAGAGTTCCAAACTGGGGCGAAACAGCCCTCAAGTACTCTTTGGTTCTCAGTCACCGTTGGTGGTGCAGCGGGAACTGATGTTCTTATAGGTCCTACCATGACAGAAAAATTGTCTGGATACAGATTAGACTAAAAGCGGTTATCATCACTGTGTGGACGAAGTCGTACTGCTGGGGAATAGGAATGTACCAACAGTAAGGTATTCCCCTCAGACGACAAGTATGCCGGCTATGGTGTACCTGTCTCCTATACGGAGGGGGGCTTAGAAAAAATAAACCCCGGAAATCGCACAGCTTGACTCACCCTGCTGCGGTAGTAAGATCCTAATACAAAGACGATTTCAAAAACCTATCAAAACAAGCTGTGCTGTGTGTGTGTGACTGACCCCACCTCAAACAGTCGTTCGCCCACTGGGCTCTGTGGTCACGCAAGAGAAAATGAACTTCCACAGTGGGAGCAGTTGTGAAGTAAGAATTGCCTCACCCCCCCCCACACACACATACTTCTGAACGAAAATAAAGCTCAGATCCAGAATGATGATCCCACTACATAGATTAACACAAGCACCATCCAACTATTGACTAATGATGTTATCAAATAATGTAAAATGTTGCAAGTAACACAAATTCTTACTAGTGTATTAAAGCAACTGTGCTAAGTATACTTACCTCAGTTTATTTACTTGATTTTACAGATGTTTCAGTATTCTGAATAGTATGATTTGAACGTGACAGGGATGATTTACGCAGAGTATTCTCCCGACTATTATCCATCATCACATTACTGTTACGATTATGACCATTCGAAGATCGAAGATTAGTCGGATGCGATGAAAGATACGGTTGTGATTCACGTAGTGGATTATTTTTTGAATTCTCAGCTGCAATAGAACCTTGAGATTGACGTCTTCCAACATGGATTGGACGATTTTCACTAACTGATGTAGTCATTATCCTCGGATGATATGGATTACCAGAACTTGACCGGAGAACATCATTACGACTAAAGTTAACACCACTACTCACTGATGCTCTTTGAGTTTTTCGACTACTGCCTTTTGGTAATTGTAGAGAAAATCGTGGAGGGATAAGTGTATCATGCGATGAAGTGTTGGAATTTTGAATACGCATTCGTCCAGACTTAACACTGCCGCCAACTGCTACTGCTGATGACGACGAGGAAGAACAAGAACCCTTGTTCTTTGGATTATTTGCTTCAGATTTGTCTAGCGTGGAAAGATTTACAACAGAATGACTTTTTGTTGCAATAGCATTTTTATATGCTCTAAGTCGAGTTGACATTTCTTTTGGAAAATAGGACAGTTCTGATGTTCAGCAGATATAGGAAGGAAGGAAGTGGAAAGGAAAATGACAATAAGAAATTTGAAAAATGCAATACTAAGAGAGTTACGTAATACAGAAAAGATAAATATTAGAAAACCTAGGATTACTGGACAGCCAGCTGTTTCGTCAGCCTAGTTTGGGAGTGAAGTACTCCCTGCAGGTTTTCCAATGGTTCTCTAACTGATGTCAGCTCATGATGGAATCCTCCAACAAATCAAACAAAAAAATACCCACAAAACTAATACTTGACAAATATTAGAAGTTACAGGAGCTGACATCAGTTAGAAGACCATTGGAAAACCAGTCAGGAGTACTGAACAGTCAGCTTCAGCAGTACACATCCACCAGGGTTCGAACCCACGACCTGCCGGTTACAAGGCTAACGAGCTCATAGTTCATTCATCAGCCATTGGAACTCAAACCGATTCAATGGCCCAATTCATGATGAAATCCTGTAACAAATCGAATCCCCGCAAACCTACACTTGAATATCAATCTAATGCTCACTAGCGACTGGTCCTATTCAGGTAGGTAGGTTGGTAGGTAGTTACCTGGATTCTAGAGTGAAGCCGTAACCAGTAGTGGAGTACAGCAAGTCATCGGGTGTGACGAAAAGTACTCGCCGGTCACACTATATCGTGAATTGAAAGAAGTTGGAATTCATGGGCTGGGTGTTGGGTAGGGTAACAGTGACTTAGTGGTCTACCAGCTGGCTAGCCTTGTAACCGGAAGGTGGTGGTTTCGAACCTCGGTGGGTGCGTACTGATGATGAGTTCCAAACTAGGACGAGACAGTTGTGCATTACTCCCTGTGACTGGTTTGCTAATGGTTCTCTAACCAATGTCAGCTCATGATGAAATCCTGTAACCAATCAACCAAATCCCTACAAACCAATACTTGAATATATGAAGTTATGATAGAAGAAGAAAGAATCGCTCGAGGAGAGGAAAACCTCTTCAAGTCCTCTCAAATTTTTAATTCACAAATATTTAACACAAATCTGACAGACAGACAGACTACTCTCATTTAATAATAACAGTAGGAAATAAAAGTTATGTTTGGTGTAAGAGGGCTATGTGGTGTACTGTTCACATTCCTTAACCATAAAAGCAGTAAAATGAGAGGAAAAAACAACAAATGGTTCATCATTGCGCAGTTAAAGTCTTCCAAGTTTTATACAGAGGGGAAAAAACAGTCAATACTATCAAAAGAAAATGACTTTATAGGAGAAAAGAAAACCCAAATAAAAATTGTAGGTGAATGTATTCACCCATAGTGTAGACTTGAAATTTATGTGTTGTATAAACATCAAATCGATGTGTAGTACTTTCTCTCTCTGTCTCTCCCTCTTCTTCTTCCCTCCACCCTTCACACCACACCACACACACACAGAATGACCTACTTCAGTAGACAACAACAGCAACACCAGTGTGTTGTTTTTAACGAAGAGGAAGAACGGAAGGCAAAACGATCATATTACAGACACAAATATGAACTATTACTACTTAATGATAAATGTTATATTTTGATGTTTACCAGTAAACTTTACCCTGTAGTCGGTTAGTCAGAATTTCATGTTGTGTATTATAGTGTTCCAGAATGGGGGAATATTGTGAATGTATAAATTTTAACGTAAGCATTCACACATTCCTTGCATTCCGAAAAGAATTTTTTCAAAGAACACAAGGCTTCAAGTGTTGAAGTTTCCAATAGTCGTGGTGTCAATTTGTTTGTTTTTTCTCTCCTGAAAGGTGGGGTTGCTAGGCTCACACTCAACCCTGCCTTTTTTTGGGGCTAGTAAGACAAAGAGTGAGTTTTTTAGGAGTGAGTCAGTGGGAGCTGAACTCGAACTGTGGTGTTAGATTACTATTACTAATGAAAAGTAGTATACTAATACAGATTAAAGACTGACAACAGTTATGAAATTCTCATGAGAGATGGTTTGTAGGAATTGGATTCACCAGTTTACAGCCAAAGTTATTTTGGTTCCCGGTATTATTATTATTATCTATTCACTTGGGTTCCGAATGGAACGTAGTGCTTCCACAGTACATCATCGTTTCACTCTGTTCTCAGCAGTTTCCTTCAGCTAGCTACATCCTTAGAAACCGCCTTTCTCAATGTCTGAAGAAGATATTTCAAGCGGCCACCTTACGCATCACATTCTCCAGCAGACAACTAATTCAGTCTAACCTTAAGGATAAGATAACCGCTTTATGGCCACCTCAGTGGTGTGTATTTATCAGTTTACTTACTTATTCGTGTGGAGCAAAGTATATCGGCCGTACTCAATGTCAAGTCCACAAACGTATTCTGGAACACTGCCCGCCCAGCCTAGTTAGCTAGCCAGAGAAGGAAAGAAGAATACCAGCAGCTCTATCCTCGAACAGAACACCTTGTCAACAACTCTGGACATCGAGCACGCCCAACCCCCCATGCATGAATGCTTCACAGTGCTACATAGAGTTCCTCAATATCGTACGAAACGACTTCGAACATGCTATCTGTACATAGATGAATCATTGGCTATTCGGGACATGAAACCGGACCTCTGCATTCAATAGCACTAGGTACATTTACTCACCCTACCGTGGTCAGAGTAACATTCTCACTACAATTTTGCGCCCTTTTATTACGTAAGCTTACTATTATTCTTATCATCCTTAGTTTGGTAACACTCTACTATTGCTTATTAATAACAATGAGTTTTCGTACAGACTTAATAAAAACACTTTGTCATCTTTCCACTAGTTCTTGTCCACTCTACAGAACCATATTGATTAGTGATTTTATTACATCGTCCCAAATCCTGAACCCATTCTTCCTAATTCCAGGTTAGTCATCCCCGCCCAGATTACACCTTCCATTAGGTAATATGTTCTCGAGGACGAATTTTACCAGTGTCTGATTGCTTTTATGAATTCTTTGGTAAATATAAATTCTATACTGTACAGCAGATTATAAAAATGAATCGTTGAAAAAAAATTTTTCTTAGCTACATGACTGCCTTTTATTTCCATATCACACAATCCCCCGCATGTCACTGTTTCCAATCCTGCCCAGCCATCTGATTGTCAATATCATACTTGCATGCAGTATCACTAGGTTACAAGATATGAGTAAGTCACCATTTAACTACTAGTTAGAAAAATTCAGCGGTTAATCAATTCTAACCTTTGTTAATTTGAGTCACAGAACCATTGCCATTACATTCCGGTACAGTAACCAAATGATGAATACAGCTCACCTAATAACATGAGCGTTTGCAGTTTTATCATTGATAGACATTCATAGTACCCCGCACCACTGAGAAGTCCTAAAGTGGGACAAAACAGGCATCCAGGAGCAAGTGGGTGATGCTTTGATGTTTGCAAAGATGGGTGCGAGACTCAATAGGAATACCATCAATTGTCGAGTGTTGCAGATACACCTAGCATCCTGGATTCATCTCACTGCTAATCACCACATCAACCAAAGTAAATCCACACCAACTGACTACATTACACACTCCAGAAACAAACCTCATGCAGGTTGATACACTAACTTATATATAAAGAACAAACCAATTTCGTGAAGACTATTAATAATATCAGACTACCGCAAACTTCATTAGTGGAGTGGATGTGGCGACACAGCCTTTCAAAGACAAGTTAGATCTCCACTTAGACTGTCACTAGCTTACTCTACTTTATCAAAGAAGACTGGCACTTCGTCTCGGTAGCACAGTCAATGTGAAATGTCCACTGACTGGATTCAATACCTAATGGTATTAATAAAATATTTACTTATTAATTATGATTATTTCGGATTTTCAACACTAAATATCAAATCAGTCAATTCATAATCTTAAGTATTTGCTGTGCCTCTCCACGACACAATAGGGTGAGAACAGATTAATGTAAGTGTGTAAAATCTGGGCACTGTGGTAGAATGCAATTCTGTATTAGATAAGTTTATTTTAATAATCACACAGTGATGATGATGCAGTATTAACAACTGGATGACAAAGTTTTGAGCATAAATTATTGCTACTCATAGCCTTACACAAACTGAGCCCTGGGCTATCAACTGGCTACACTCTTATTTCTCTAATAGGATGCAGTACACGGTATATAATGGCGTATCTTCCTCTCCTTTGCTTACTAAAGCTGGAGTTCCTCAGGATGCTGTTCTTTCTCCGTTTCTTTTTTCCTTCTTCTTACATGATTTACCTCTCTCAGATGAAATCAACTTCGTCAAATATGCAGATGACCTGTCTGTATCGTTTCTCATTAAGTCTCAGTCAGACTGTTTCAAATTAAATAGCTTCATGTCGGACATCAGTGAGTGGTTCAAACTAAATGGTCTCATGCTAAATCCCTCAAAATGCCAGACTATTGACTTCTCCCTTAGGCATAAATGAGATCTACAAACACTAGTAAGTTCTCATGAAGACTGTTGCATTGAGGGGACTAAAATTGAAACTAAGTCTAATGCAAAATACCTCAGTCTAGTTCTATCTTCCGACCTTACTTGGACATCTCATATCCTAACGATTTCTAAGAAAGTGTTCTGTCTAACCTACTACATTAAGAAACTTAGACAATCTGGAATCACCCAACCTCTACTTTCACAATTTGTCAACTCTTGCATCTTACCTATTCTACTTTACTGCTCCCCGTTAGTCTTTCCTGGTCTACTGAAAAAGGACTATACCATCCTGAGAAGGATGTTGAAGGTAGTTAGTAGGACTAGTGGTGTAAAACTCAGTCAGCTCGTCACTACATTAGTTGATAGGCATCTGAATACATGCGAAAAATGGTCTAAAACCATACTCTAAGACCCCCAACACTCCCTCTATTCCCAACTCTCGCCTTGTATCTCATCAAGTAAAACCAGAAATCAGTATAAAATAATATATGCTCGTACAACCAAGTACAGGAACTCAACGATACCATACTTGGTCCGTGTTCTAAGCGACAGAGACAATGTCAAGCGTGAA